GTGCATCATAGCCAAATATGGAGTTGTTTACAGCTAGGCTACCAGGAAGCCAGCACCATCTTAGAATAGCGGCTCCCTACAACCACCTCCACCTCCACCTCCTCCTCCACCACCACCACCACCACCACCACCTTGTAACAAATTTAATCCGTCCAATTTAATAACTAATGAGTTACTTTCCCTGCTATGTCCCCTAAAGTGTCTTTTTCTCCTCTTCTCGTGGGCTTTTTTCTGTTTCCTTTGTCTCTACCCACATTTACTCCCAGCTAGATATACACATTTAACACTTAGACGCTAAGAACAACATACGAAAGAAAACATATTTTTATTTTTCTGAGCCTGGATTACCTCACTTATGCAGTATCTTCCAGATCCATCTGTTTTTCTACAAATTTACTTCATTTTTTATTTATTGCTGAATAAAATTTCATTGTGTACATGTGCCACATTTTCGTCGTTCACCTGTTGGTGGACGTCTAGGCTGATTTCATTTCCTAGCTATTGTGAAGAAAGCAGAAATCCAAGTGTCTCTCCAGTGGGGTGGAGTCCTTTGGATATGTTCCCAGGAATGGAACACCTGAGTCATAGGAAAGTCCTACTTTTAGGTTTTTGAGAAATGATCACACTAATGAGCATATTCTGCTCTACCAACAGCAGATAAGCCTCATGTGTGCCCCAATTCTCAAGAGCAATTGTAATTTGTTGTCTTATGGTGGCCATTCTGAGAGTTGGGAGAGTTGGGATCTCAAAGTAGTTCTAATTTACATTTTTAGATGGCTAGGGATATTGAATACTTTTAAAATGCTTATTGTAAACATTCTTTTGATAATTATCTGTTTGGTTCATTGGCCCACATGTTTATTAGCAGATTTGTTTTTGAGTGTTTAGTTTTGAAGACAGACAGATGATAGATAGATAGATAGATAGATAGATAGATAGATAGATAGATAGATAGATAGATAGACAGTTATATGATAGACAGACAGACAGACAGATGATAGCGTGATGAACCCCTTGTCTGAAGTATAACTAGTGAAGACTTTTGTTTTGTATTCTGTACACTGCCTGCTTACTCCGTTGATAGTTTCTTTTGCTGCACAGAAGCGTTTTAATTTCACGCAATTGAATTTCTCAGTTATTGGGATTATTTCCTATGCCTTTGGAGTTCTATTAAAAAATTTCTTGCCTAGACCTATATCCTGAAGTGTTTTTCTTTAGCAGTTTTGGTGTTTCTGGTTTTGCATTTAGATGTTTGATCCAGCTGGTTTGATAGGAAAAAGACACAGCACTAATTTCATTCTTCTGCGGGTGGATAGCCACCAGTACCAGCACCGTTGACTGACAAGACTCTTTTTTTTTTTTCAGGATATGTTCTTGATATTACTGTCAATAATTAAATGGTCACAATTGCATGAGTTTACTCCTGGATCTTCTATGGTGTCCCGTTGCTCTGTCCACATGTCTGGTTTTGTTCCAGCACTATGCCGATTTTGTCACGATGGTTTTATAGTGTAGTTTGAGGTGAGCTAATGTGGTGCTTCCGACTGTATTCTTTCTCCTGAGAATCGCATTGGCTGTCTGTGGTCTTAAGAATTTCCAAACAGAATGGAAACACATGAACTATGAACCAAAGGCTGAGGGGCTCCCAGCTGGATCAGGCCCTCTGAATAGGTGAGACAGTTGATTGGCTTGATCAGTTTGGGAGGCAACTAGGCAGTGGGACCAAGTCCTGTGCTCATTCCATGAGTTGGCTGTTTGAAACCTGGAACTTATGCAGGGACACTTGGCTTAGTATGGGAGGAAGGGACTGGACCTCCCTGGACTGAGTCTACCAAGTCGATCACAGTCCTCAGGGGAGGACTTGTCCTGGAGGAGGTGGGAATGGAGGGTGGGCTGGGCGTAAGGGGAGGGCGTGGGAGGGGGGAGAATAGGGGAACCCATGGCTGATATGTAGAACTGAATGGTATTGTAAAATAAAAAATATATATCACAAAAAAAAAAGAATTTCCAAACAGATTTTAGCATTTGTTCTGAATCTATGAAGACTATCGTTGGAGGTTTTATGGAGATTACACTGATACTGGCAATTGCTTTGGGTCATACCGTCATCTACAAAACATTCATCCTGCCAGTGACCATTTCAACACAAGTCTAGGTTTATCTGAGCAGGGGTCTCTAACAGAGCAGATGGTAATAGTTATAAGCTGCAATCATACAAACCATACTGCTGAGGTATTGGGCCCACAAACACGTCTTTGTATAAATCTCTACTTAGGCCTTGTCCTTGCCACAGTCTCATTCTGTTGAGGGATGGAAACAGTACACGATTCTGATCGATGAAGCTTCATGGAACAGAAGTCCTTGCTCAGTCAAAAGGCTATCATTACTTACAGCTCAGACCCTAGTTCAGGCTTGAAAGTCCTGGGAGGCTTGTAGCAGCTGTTTCTCTATGCTTCTCTGGAATCATAAGAACACACTCCTGGGTTAAATGCCACAGGTTGCTATCTGAAGACTCAACCTAGACAAACCAATAGTCCACAGACATAGGAGATGGAAATTAAAATGATTACCTGAAATTTCAAAAGTTGGGCATATATGCAACTTCTAGAAGAATAAAAATAAAGTCAACTCATACAACACAGGAGATTTTTTTAATACTCACTAAAAACAATGCTTTTATGCTAATACTATTTTAACTCTATTTAAAATAATTCCTTGCACAGTTCAAAACTGGCAGAAAAGTAAACATTTCACACATTACACGGTCCATTAGAGTTTTAGTCACCACTGAAATAAGAGCAAACAGTGATTCCAGAGACTGAGGCAATTTAGAAAGGAAAATAAAAATACACTTGAACCTCAATAAAAAGAATCTCACAATCAGTTTTTCAAAGCTACCCACAGTAGTTGAAAACATCATAGCACAGTTCTGTTTTAGGGCACATTGTTGGTATTGTTATTGGATCTCCCCAAGAGGTCACTGTGGCTTGTCGCCAAGAGCCATTCACAGGGCACTGATTACCCCAGAATGCCAGCGGACCTCACTTAAGCAACCATGATATAAGCAAAGCAAGTAACAAAGTAGACATCAGTAGCCATTACTTCTATAGCCAGAAAAGAACTCACTTGACATAACTAAGCCCTGCGGTTCTCTTTAAGTAGTAAGTAGCCAGCGCGCCTGAGTGTTTATTTACTGTCCTCTCTGCCCCCCGTTCACAGGCAGGAAACGGAAGGAGCTGACTAAAGATTCGCTAAAACTGAAGTTGAAGCAGTGCTGAGACTATAATTATGAAAAAGTAATTACATTAAATTGACTCACTGTTTTGGAAATATGCCAAATGCTTACAAATGAATAATACCGTGTACCTTCTCCATCAATACTTGTTAGCCAAGATGACAAAAAACGTAACTGAAGCTGTTACCACCACTAAAAATCTCGATATAGTGAATTCTCCACCAGAACTAAACTTACCTCTACTCAGCCGATTCCTTCGACAGCCTCGTTTTTAAAAAGAGCAAATGATTCGCTACTAGATAACCAGACCTCTGAGTCATTTTTCATATTACTTATTTTTTCATTTATTTGAAAAAGTCAATAATATGGCTATTATAGAAAATTTAAATAATGGCATAAAATACAAACTAAAAACTATGCATAATATTGGCAGCCCCACCACAGAGACTATAGACATTCCAGTGCTTTGTGTGTTTTTATCACAAAATTGAGAGTCCTGTTGTGGATGCTGTTTTGCAGTTTGCTTTTCTTTTCACATAATAACTTAATCTAAGCTTTTTCACGGTATCAAATACTATTGTATCATGTGAGTCTTAAAACTATGTTTTAGAACATGAGCACATAATTATTGAAATAGACACCTATTGTAAGGCCTATGGGCTGTTTTCAATACTTTATTGTTAGAAATTCTGTGCTTAAGACACATAAATTATCATGGGCATTTGTATTTCTTTGGAATACATTCTTAGGAGTTAAAATGCCAGTGTAAGCGGGGAAGAAAGGACTAGATTGCCCGGTGAAGACCGCCTCCTCCACCACCCACGTGCCATCAGTTCCGGTTATATGCTTCCCTGCCCTCGCCAACCGGTTAGGATTAGTTTTGAAACACTTCCTAACTAAGCAATTAGGTCACTTTCTGTCTTTCTTTTATTCAACCAACTGAAACCTGATTGTGTCTCCTTTATTTGTCTTTTGAATATTCTGCTTTTAGTTACCCAGTACGGGTTTATCTGATTACCAATGTGTTGTATGTACACAAAGGTAAGATCTTGTTTCATGCGTCATGGTTTTCTTTTGCTTAGTTTTCTTCATTTTCCTTCTGCAGAATATGTGATGGATTTTTCTGATATAAAAGCGTGAGAGATTGCTTTATGATAAAATTGCTAAAAAATAAAACAAAGTGAGGCTGGAACTTATTACTTGAAGAACATTTACCAATAGCTTTCATTCTGGCCCAAAAAAATGTTTGAGGAGTTTTGTCAAGGAAGTTAAATTGTTTTTGATTAGTTGTAGAAATTTTAGGAATGTATAATTAACCACTGTGAAGGTCCTTCCTACGCTCCAAAAATATGAAAATATAAATGTTAGTAATGTATGTCTCCTGATACAATTAGGCGTCTTAGCAGTTATTCTGCAGAATTAACTTACTTTATATATTTTATTAACCCTTGGAGAATTTCATACATCATACATTGTACTTTGATCATTTTGCCCCTCCCAAGTCCTCTCAGATACATCCTCTATTCCATAACCACCCAACTTTGTGTTCTCATTATTTTTTTAATTGACTCTGTCCAATTAGTGCTAGCTATATAATCTTGGATGTGTAGAACATCCATTGGAGTTTATTCCACCTACCAGGACCCATACCCTTAAAGAAAACTAACTCTCCCTCTCTTGAAAGCTATCAGTTACCAAGAGTTCCTCAGCTAGGAGTGGGATTTCTTGTCTACCCCCTTACCCTCACCTCTGCTCTATGCTGGGATTTGCCTGGCTTGAGCTGGACCATCTTGGGGAGTGAGTCTCAAATTCAATCAGAAAGTGGTTGGTTATGTCTGTGACATTCATGCCACTTTTCAATGGAGGGCATATTTTCCCAGAGTGTCATTATTATAGCACACAGTGTTCACATTTGGATAACATTAGTGATGGCTTTTCTCCTCTAGTAGCATTCTCGCACCTTCCAGTATTATGAACCCTAGTAAGGATGAAACTCCCAAGTCAAATCTATCTTGATTCCTCTAAGTTTTATGATTCAGCTATGTGGTATCTTGGGAGTCAAGGATAGAGGAAGGAATATAGGGATGAATAACTCATGTACAGACCTTCTAAAAGAGTCATATGAAAAATCTGCTACTGCAGATTTTTTCTATAATATAAACACATCACACACATACATAGATCTGTGTGTATAAATATGTATATATATTTATATGCTTAAATGGAGTTACCCCATAACTTGGCAGCAATGCCCCTACCAGACACCACAGGGTAACAACAACAAAAAAGCCCAGTGCTAGGAATGGGTTACGGTATTTGGAGCTGTTGGGCCAGTAAGGGTCGACAGGCTGCAAAATATTATAGGGCTCTGCTATTGTTCTTGGTTACCCTCTAGAACTTGACAGTAAGACCTTATTGCTAAACATGTCAAAATTAACTTATTTACTGTTGGCTTAGAGAAAAATAAAAATTTCAGTGAGTTTTCCCTGCTGAAAATGTAAATTCAGAAAAAGTGATTGGGCGCTAGGAAAGGCTACACATGACTTTCAGCACACCTACTCATCCCCAACAAGGCTGGCCAGAGTGCAGCGTTTTCTGAACATAGTCTGTCTGTATCAGCAGTTCTCAACCTTCCTAAATGCTACAACCCTTTAATACAGCCCCTCGTGTTGTGGTGACCTCAATCATAAAACTACTGTAATTTTGCTATTGTTATGAATGATAATGTAAATATTTTTGGAGAGAGAGGTTTGCCAAAAGGGCCTGATCTACAGGTTAAGAACCACAGGTCTATAGGTAGCTGAACAGCAAGTCAGCCCAAGAGAAATCTTTGCACCACTGGACAACACAAATATTACCTTGTGTTTTCTCCAACTCTTCCAGAAACATCCATGTTATTTTTATGATATAACTCTTCTCTGCCATCCTGCATTTTTCTAAGCAATTCACAAAAAAGACATAGCAAATTGTATATGCTAAATAAATATGGCTGATGTTTAGGTTTAAAAGACAGAATCAATAAAGTAAAAAAATAGCCCCACCATCTAAAAGCAAACAAAACCCAAGTAAAGCACATTTTGTTAGAAGCCATTAGAAGCCAAAGGAAGCCATAAAAATGGTGACTGAAGTTGTAATAATACTTCATTTGCATATATTAGAAGGCCCCAACAAAAATAAAGATAAGATCTCTCTGTTTAAAATTCCCTTTGCTCTGCTATTTCACAGGCTGGAGTTTTCTCCCTGGAAGGTTGCAGGGATAGTGTTTCCCCAGACTTCAGATGGGAGTTCCCCTGATGGCCTCATGAACTAAAAAGGAGTGGGAACAAAGGAGGACTTCAACTTCACCCGCTTCTACAAGTGTTTGTCTCTTCCTTATCATTCTTTATAGTCATGCTAATCGCAAACAACGTTAAAAATCAGAAGTAGAAAAGAAAGGGTGTAATTAATATCCTGTAAAAATATTTTATGGCAGATATGATTATGAAATAACACTCCCTGGTAATCATTTTATAGGCATATCTCACAATTTATGTCATTGTTAATGTGCTGCCTTAAAAACATACAAGTCATTCTTGGGATTGCCTTTTATCCACTTTAATCCTATGCCTACGTATCATCAAAAACTCTTTTCATTTTGTATAAAGTCCCTTTTGAAACAGAAAGGGGCAGTAAAGAGATGAACGTTGAGATGCAATTGTTGGTCTTAGTTGGAAATGGTCAACTAAGTGAAATGGGAAATCAGAATCATCATAGAGATCATTCAGAGTCGGGAAAGTCACTCATAGGCTCAGACATGGCCGAGGTTTCCGCATTCTCGTGGGTGGCTGCAGCCCCGATTGCTTCTCCAGTGTGACTGCTAATAGGAAAATTGAACAGGTTGGCCTGAGTCTCAGGAAGTGGAAGCCTGACTTGGTAGCTTCTGCAATGAGAGAAAAAGTGAGGAGTTTTCTCCAAATGCCAGCATATTCTTCAGACAGGGCAAACAGAAGGTGGACACACTTGTCTATACTATCTAAACCTTGTTTCTCAGGTGTGTAAGGTTTTACAGTGAGTGAACATGTGCTCTTCTCCTGCTGTGGGGCTCTCAGATGATTTTCTACACAGAGTCCAAGTTCCTGGAGTTTTTCACATTGCAACTCACAGTTGCCAGGCTGCAGTAGCAAAGCCGACCAAGCAAAGCCTCCTGAATAGAATCTCTGAGACCCACCACAGACCCTGGCAACACTAATGAACCAGGAGACAGATTCTGCTAGGCCCCAGTGGGCAACAAGGGAGAGGAAACATAAAATCCCACAGTGATGAAACCAGGCTATGGCCATAAAGAATCAACTTCTCTTAGCAGGTGCTGTATGTCCCAACATCTGCTGGCCATATAAAACAATGTGGCTGGTGTGTGGTGTGAAGATGTAGAAATACTGTTAATATCAAAGGTTAGATGATAGATAGATAGATAGATAGATAGATAGATAGATAGATAGATAGATAGATGATAGATAGATAGATAGATAGACAGATAGATGATAGGTAGGTAGATAGATAGATAGATAGATAGATAGATAGATAGATAGATAGATAGATAGATAGATAGATGATAGAGTATATATGTATATATGTGTGAATATATGTTGATATATTAAACAAACTTAGTTGTACTTTTTAGGTAAATGTAGAGTCAAAATAAAAAAGTGTTTTCCTGTATTTACTCTTAACATAACACCTAGAAACAGTACAGTATAATGTTCTAAACAAAAGTCTCTCTTCACTCAGTATTCCCTTTGAAATCAACGGGAATTGTCAGTCTGAAGATTCAGCATAGAAGTGAACTGCTCCTACTGATCCAGCCAGTCCTCGAAGGACAGCAATGGCAGAAGCCCACGATTAGTTAGTTGTTCATAAAAACATCACTGCAGCAGCTGAGGACCAGGCCTCAAGGTCAGTAGGACCTGGGTTCATATCCCCATCTGGGTTCTTATCAGGCTCATTAACTTCCCTGAGATTCAGTTTTCCCTCCTTTATAAAATGGGAATAAAATCACCTCCCTCAACAACTGTGATCAAAAGAAGAAATTAATTACAAGAAATTAATATTAAAAATAAAATAACAGTAAGGTACATAAAACAGCATCCAAAACAGACCTCCAATTATTTGACAAATTATGACTGTTATTTCTACCATTACTATTGATCATTTATGCCCAAGTTAATCCAAAAACAGATTCAAAGTGACTGATAAAGATAAACAAAATGTGAAAAGTAACACAAATAAACAGTTGATGAGACAGGAAGAATATTTTAACTTGGTAGATCCTTCAGATTAAAATTTGTGTTTCTCCCTCATGAAATACTCATCAAATACAGAGCAGCTAAAAGCCAGGGCAGCTTAGCAACAGTGCAGGGGCTCTTGGGAAGACTAAAGCTTCGTTTTTATTTCACCTCAGGTCACAGACTCTTGCCCATGCTCCCATGAAAATACCAGTTATCAGGGAAAAGGTTACTATAAACTTTAGTGTCTGGGGCACAAGTGCCAAGAAGGAAAATAATACGACCTCAGTTGACTGTGTCATAAGAGATCTATCCAAACTCCCCATCCACTTTGGATTACAGCCTTTCTGCCCCACCCCTCTACTGATCCTCGTGTTTAGCAGAACATATAATGCCACCCTGTCATTTAGAGAGAAGTCAAAACATAAGATCCCATCATAAATATCATTTTAGAAAAATTATGCCACACCACCTTCCATGTTAGATCACCAGGGAAGGGAGACATTTTGATATGTAAATTCACTCAAGTCTACTTTTGAATATTAATTATGTATCACACTACCTCTCACATAATTATTTTTGCCACGAATTTGGAGTCATTACCTAGGAAACTATAGGATTAGAATTTTAAAGATTTGTTGGAGATAGGAATCCAACCAATAAATATAAACACTCTTGGCCTTCATTCATTCAGACAAAGAATTGGGATATCATTCCAGACATGGAAAGAAAAAAGTCCAGTTAAATGTACGTGATTCCCTGAAGTCCTTTGTTGAACAGTCTCCTGGACCACTATTAAACCTCAGTGAGACACAGTTTAACTCTGTAACCAAATAGAAACAGCTTATGGACATGAGGAATGGACATGAGGAACAAAGAGCAGGGCCAAAAATGGGGACCAATGATGACATTTGCCCTTCCTGCCATCTTCCGAACACCTAGACGGCACATTGCCACACTTCAAACCATGCAGTTGCACAGTCGAATGCTAAGCAGGAAGCCCGGGGCTTGTTCCTAGTCTGCAGACCCTTAGCACGCTTGGAAGCGCCACACTCAGCAAAAACCAATCCAGGTGGAGTCCTGACCGGGTGTTTCAGCCAAAAGAGTCCCTTAAAATCATGACTGAGCCCAGGAACTCACATGGGGAAGCACCAGAAGCCGAGTGCGGGAGGCAGTTTAAAATGAGAAGGGATTGTTACAGCATTTCTCAAACATGCTTTCTTTGATAGAGCGAAGAGTGTTGCAGAGTGTGTTTCTGGTAACTGAAGCAAAGAGGATGAGAAGTTCAGACTGTTTGGGCAGAATAATCATGAAGCACAGTGTCTCCTGCTCAGCACACCCGTCACTGTCATCCACACCAATCTGGTCCAGCCTGACAATGGCTGTGCCTAGAAGTACAGACAGCCTGGCTCTCTGCTCCTCCTCCAGCGGTATGGCGTCTGTATGGCAACCACAGAAACGAGACCTGCACTAAGGTCAACCTTGCAGCCATTCTCTAAATCCCCGACTCTCACCAGACACTGGGGGCAAAAGCTTTGCCCCTTTTTCTAAAGCACCAAGTGCAGCGTCTCAACAAACATGGGTATTTTCTTTGCAGAAACTGGGCGGGGGTCGTCAGGCACCCTGGAAGTCTTGAATGGAAATGCAATCTTGCTTCAAAAATAATCACTGCATTTTTTTTAATTCTTCCTACAAAAACAAAAAAAAAAATTCTTATCTACAGTAAGATAATTTGAAAAGTTACAGGGGTTAATGTTTTATCATTTCATTGTGTGTAAAATATCCAGAATAAGTAAGTCTGATGAGATAGAAAGTAAGCAATATGTTAGGGACTTGGGGAGTAATGGAATCCTTCAGAGCTAAAAAGAAGTAATAATGACTCCACATCGTTGTGATGGTTCTAAATGCCCTTGAATTGTACACTTTAAAGTGATTATCTGCGTTTTATGTGACTTATAAATTTTATCTCAATTAAAAGTTTGGTGGAATTTTAATACGAGCTGGGTATTAAATGACTTTGTGGAATTATTAATTTTCTAGGGTGTGACAATAGTATTGCATCAGGAAGGAGAATAACATCCTTTTCACAGTCGAATGCTAAAGTCTTTAGGGATGAAGAATCATCATATCTACACTTTCTAATACTTCAGTAGAAGAACATGTCTGTCTGCAGAGAGTAAAGCAACCTGGCACAAATATTTATGATTGTTGATTCTAAGTGAAAAGTAACAGACTATTCATTGTGCTATTCTTCAATATTTCATTATGTTCAAAATTTGCCAAATATTGGGACAAAACATTTTAATGATCCTCTGAAATCATGAATGAAGTTCAAGGTTCATATTAATTAATTAGTGCAAAAATTTGTCAAGTACCTTCTTGTCGCCAGGTACTATACTCATGCTTAGAATACACTAATGAAAAAAAAAAGATGCAATATGACCTGATCATTGCAGCCTGCTGTGGATAGCCATAAATAACCAAGCAACACAGGCTGAATGATGCTATGAAGATGCAAGATACCATCAAGGACACCAATTCTAACATCTACGGGATCTTCCTGAGAGTCCCCAAGAAACAGTAGTCCAGTAAACCCCACTGTGGCCTGGAGGCTAGACTCTCACAAATGAAAACAGGGAGTAGTGTTTAAAGGAGGCCATGCAGTCTGTAAGGGGCACGGCCACTCAACTTCAGCCAACAGGAAGTCCCTCCAGAACGAGAAAAATCAGAAACCAAGGAGGCCAAGTCGTGAGTCTCAATTGTCCACAAGCCCAAGTTTACAGCATGCCCCAGTCTTGCCTTTGAAAGTGTCTGCCTCTCCTAATGGTGGGAGGAGGAGGTGTGGGCAGCCAAAACTGTATTAGAAAAACAGGAGGCAGTGGAAACGCTCCAGGGTTGGGTGAGCTACCACAGCCATGACCACCAGCCAGGCGCAGATCCATCTGAGTACTCATGCAGACCAGCGCCTCCCTGCTGAGCATATTTTTCATTTTCTTTCAAATACAAATGGAAGGCGGCTGCACAGGCACAGGGTAGGAATCGCCAGCGTTGTAAAGCCTTGGTCTGCTCCAAGTTGAACTGATTGTCTTCCTAGAACTACTCAAACATAATCACAGGGCAGAAGGATGAGAGGGGTCACCATGGCACTTTGCTCGGTCTGCCCACTGCAGTGCGACTCTTGCTGACTCGGATTGGAGGATTGAAGATGGCGCTCTCATTTTCTGTCACCACGGTCTTCACATTCACAGAGGAGGAAGGCAGCGGGGAGGAGATTGGGGGGAAGGGAATACTCAGAAAACTTGAAATTAATAATATGACATTGACTTTAAGAAAAAAACAAATTAGGTTGCACAAATTTTTAGTTACCCTTTCCCCAAGGGTTAGTAGTGGTTCCCACTCATGGATCTAGAAAGAACTGTAGTCTGGGGACAGGTCCAGCACTATGATTTTAGGCCCAGTATTTGTGATTTCAGGCTGAGAACTCTGAACGATTTTCCACAAGAATCCACGGCAGCCTCTTGTGTCCAGAGAGATGCCAGGCCATCTCCGAACCCTGGGCTCGGCTTCTCAACACAAAGTTTAAAAAAGTCGCATTGAAGAAAAACCTCCCCTTTTCCTATCTTGAAACACATCTCTGGTGTTATTTTATCCTATGCTGGGGCCTGAGAAGAAGTCTGACTGCTAATTCGCAGCTCTAGTGCTTTGAAGTGCCATTGATATTCCAAACTCGGGAGCCTCCCATATCATAAAGGAATCTTCCACCCGCCCCCAGCCACACTACAAATAAACTTGCTTCAACAAACCTGCAAGCTGCCCTTGCGCCCCAGTGCCCCAACGCCAGCCAGCCTCTGAGAACGGAGCCAGAGCAGCGCAAGCTCTGCAGAGAAAATAATATCCTCAGCATGGAGCCTGGAGCAAGAAAAACAGTGAGCTATTTAAACCCCGCCATTTCTCTTTAAAGACTTGGGTGTTCTTCAGAAAGAGAATTTTCCTCCCGCCTCACAAGGGTCCAGAGTGTTACTCATTTTATTTACAGAGCTTTGAAGTGAGCCTCCAAAGTTTGAGTTCAGCTCCAAGGAATGCGAGGGTCAAATCATTTTCCCTTTCTGATGAAGGGAGACTGAATTTAATACCACAATTTATTCAGAACAAGGAAATGCACCAGGGCGCGTTCCACTATTAATGCACAACCGTAGACACTTGGAACTGCATCACACTCCGAAGGCTTTGTACAGTTTGGCTAACAGTGGCAATCCGTTTAACGAGCCTTCTGGCTAATCCGTTCCTACCAGCCGCAGCACCTGTAAAAGGTGGGACACTTTGCATCCACCATGGGCACTGACTGGATTTCTATAAACAGTGCTAGAGTCATCGTCTCCTAGAAACAAAATAATTAAAAGTCCATCCCGATGGTATGTGTCTATTTTAGGAAAACTGGAGGTTAAATAGCACAGCTGGGCATGTGGCTTTTCCTGGTAACCTTCCAGCTGACCTCTCTTTGTAAAAGTGGCCTTTTGAGCTTTATTATCTTAACAAGAAACCTCATTTATATAGCTACTTTCTTTATGGAGCTTGAAGTGCTTTGTTGACCTTGGAATGCCCTTCACGCATAGGAGGATGCTCTCCCTAGGCCACAGAGCTGGCTAGACATTCACAGGCCGGGGACCAAAACATTCAGCTGTGAGCTAAAGTTAGTGCTGAATGTGCTTTTCAAACTTCTCACAGCTGGCAGGATGGGGGAGTCCTGTAGTCTGCAGAACATGAGAGTATCTGTCCATGCGCATTTGAAGAGACTACAGGGAGTCGTTGAGCATCAGGTCTGTACTGATGGTCTCTGACTGGCCTTTAGCACATAGCTAGAATCCCCTGCGGCCTCTGCATCCCCACCTGCTAAATGGGATTAGTAGTTCTTCCCATGGGCATCTGTTGTTATCAACACTGTTACCCTCATGTGTCTATATAGCTGCCTCTCTCTTTCTTTGTTTATAGCTGATTTCACATGTTTGATTGATTAAATATTGAATGACCTAACCCTATACTCACGGATTTATTTGTATTATGTTATTTAATTCTTACATTAACCAACTAGACTAGGTACGCTTACTAGCAGACAGGAGACGAAGGCATTTAAAGCACCCTGAGGACTAGTTCATGAGCTGATGGAACTGAAGTTCAAGGTCGTCTTCTGCCTCTGAGCCTGTGCTTTTCACGCGGACTCCTTGTTTTCCGTGACTGCCTCAGATTTTATGATATACAGCAGGTCTATAAATAAATAATCAGCTGTCATAGAATGTACTAAGAAGACAGTGAAAAAAATGAAACCTCTGATGACTCAATATTTTTAGTCATTCTTAATGCAGCTAATCTACCTTAGGTGCCCTATACCGGACCACTAACATCCACGACAATCTCACCCTGCCGTGCCCTCGGGCCTTTTGTGTGGCTGCCATCTTCTTCCCCATCTGCCTGCTTTCTTGGCAGCTCCTCACCTGGGGCTGTGCCTCAACTCCTGCCTCCCACTACCTGGGGTCCCGGTTTTGAACAAGATGTTCCTGCAGGAGAGCAGATAATAGTCTTAGTTTTGTTTTTGTTTTTGTTTTTGTTTTTTAAACTGGATCATGTGAGCCTCCAGGAATAAACAGGAAGTTTCCGGGAATGTTCCTCAAGGGAGATGAGGTGCTGTTTTCCGGATCCTCTGCTTCTTGCTGCTGTCTGTTTCACTGAGAGGAGAGAGGAGGGTCTGTACTTCTGGTTTTTCTTAAAACCGGTTGGCCCACAGTTGCTCAAAGCTTACTGGAAAAATAGTGGACTCTTCTTTCCTCACCTACTTTCCCATTCTCCTTTGTGAGATAACAAATAAATAAATAATACATTTTTCTCAGCAAAGTCCAAAGACATAAAGACTTCCAGCCCCCCCCCCCCCAACAATCGGAAACTCTGTCACTGCTGTCCAAGGCTTCCCAACCACTTTCAAGGACGACTTAATTGAACTGTCACTTAATGGATCACTTAAAATCATTCTTGATTTCAAGCTGGGATGGATATCAAGATCGCAGACAATGGAGAAATGTTACTAGAATAAAACTTCTTCCCCTTCCATTTGACTTACTGGACAACTTTTCTTCTTCTATGAATAGCAATAATGTGGTTCCTTCTCACACTAGCAAGCCTGAGACATTCACAGCTCCACTGAACTACAATTTAATTGAACAAATAAAATAAATGCTGTCCCAGGGTAAAAACAGAAGTGCATCTCAATAGAAGCTCCTGTTTAAAAATTGTTTATTTGTCAAAATGTATATATGCATACCATTTTGACCAACAGCACGCTATAAATAGTCATGAAAGTGACTCCATAACGTCTTAACATTTGTAGCTTGAAGCTAGAGACAAATTTTAATTAAAATGTCAACATATATACATATTTTAGTAGAGAATTATGATATGACAATCTACAAAAACTTCAAGCTTTAAATGTATTACATAAAGATAAAATTCCTCAGGGAAAGTGGAATGGAAAAATGACTTCAAAAGAAAAATAAATGAATGCTGTAAATGTCCCGCTTGTTAAGGGAGAGTTTGTGCCCTTTTAAATAGGTGACAGTTGATAGGCCAAGCAGAAGTTAGACTCTATTTGATTCATTTTTAAAGGGTGATGTAATAATTTTATATAAAACTCAATATTTACAATATTTTATTTAAAGGTAGGCATTCAGTGTATGGTGGATATCCATCCTTCTTTCATTTCTACTTAAAATGT